TACATATGTATAGGTATGAAGGGATACATGAAGGGTAACCCTTCACGTCTAAATGGAGTCATTACATTCTTCCTATGTATTATGTTGTTATTTTTTTTGTTTTCAGCGTTATCTCGCCGGTGTCGCATTCTCCGTTTCTCTTTTCCACAACACTGCTTCCCTTGGCAGCTCCTCTCCATCTTCGTCACATCTTCGGTGGCTTTGACAAATTGCTTGGGGAGCGTTTTCCTTTCCTTCTCTATCTCTTCCAGTTTCTTTTCCTTGTGCGTGTTTATCTCTGGTAATTTATTCATTTTTGATTCTTTTGGAAGCTATCTCTGTCTTTCACTCATTTCTCTGACATATTTGCTTAAATGTTAATTTGTATTACTAAAAGTAAGATTTCATCTGTTTGTCATTATTTATTTATTCATTTGTTTTTCCTTGGTGTAGTATCTTGAACCCTTTCTCCCTTAATTTCGGTTGTCTTCGTCATTTTTAATCATCTCACTTTTATTACTCTGAAAGAAAAATCCCTTGCTTTTATTAACAGGAAAATTTATACATGCTATATTTCACTATCACACATTTCTTAGCACATGGTTTTATAAACCTTTACAACTGTAACTTTCTCTTAGTTTGGGGGTTACCGGAGCGTTATTGCAGTTCATAGCAAGGGACAATGCTTTAAAGCCTGTAAATAAATTTGTATCAGCGGTATAGTTATTCAAATATAAATAATTATGTCAGATGGTTCAATGTAAGTCGAGTTTGATAGCGGAGATGTATAATTTTGTTTCCAGGCTACATACACACTTCGACTGTTGCAGGACTTGACATTTGTGATTAATGCTTTCTGTGTATTTCATTGAAACTTGCAATATTGTCATACTGATTCAAAAATTGTGAATAGATATGAATAAGTGACTGGACAATATCAGTATCAAGTCTCAAACTGAAAAAGAGAAACAGACTACTGAATAAATAAATAAACTGAATCAAATTATTTTTCATGCAGCAATCAATATGAGATTGTATATATGAAATGTGGATTCGAATTCCTTTTTAGTTTTCTCCTATTCACATATATGTGTTTGCTGGTGTGTAACCTAAGACCGGGAACACACTGGCGACTTTGTAGAGCCACAAATGGCTGCGTTTTGTGGCGAAAATATTTTCTCCCATAGGTTCCCATTGTTTTCAAGCTTTGCCGATCACACTTGTGTCTGTGGCTCGCGATTGTGGCAAGCTGTCGCTCGTCCCCGCCACAAACAGCGCATTTTGTGGCGGCGTTTTGTGGCTGGCTGAGAGCACACTAGCGCCCCCCTGCGACCACATGTGGCTGCTAATCAGTGATGCAGGAAACTTCGTAGAAGTGAGGTGTGTGTTGTCCCGCTGTTCAAACAAGGTAAGTCATTAAGCCCCAATAAATTGTACTTAGCATTCTTTTTCAGTGTGAAAGGTCAATATTTATTTATAAACAGACAAACCGTACCTAATACATAACCTTCCCGTTTTCAACGAGAAGTTAATAAATTTAAGTTATAAAAAAGTACAATACAAATGAAATTTAAAATTCAATGAAATATTAACGGACGCAGTTTTTCGTATGTTTATTTATTTATTTATTTTTTTAATCATTTAATCAAATAAATTTAATCACTGCTAAGTAAGATACCATTGGCGTTATTCTATCATTGTAATCGTATTTAAAATTTGTTTCCCACATTTGGCATTATTTGAAAGACCATTTGTTATTGTCTGCAGAGTGTGACTTGACAAACTTGTAGTCCGGGCTGTACCTGCCATGGCTTCATTCGGCTTTGACACAGAGCGATTTATTATTGAAATAGAAGATAGGCCAGCGATTTGGGACGTGCGCCTCAAGGAATACAGCAACAAAATTTTGAAAGCAAAGGCATGGGAGGAATTGTGCTCTATATTCGTACCCAACTTCAATGAGTTGGATTGCCAAGGAAAAAACAAAGCAAGTATGACATTTCATATATTTATATTCACAATATTTGATATTGTAAGTCTAGTATTTCATACATAGCTGTATAATAATGTATAATAATGTATATCTAATACATAAGTGACACAAGAAGTAATTTAGACAAAAGTTTGTAACACATTACATCCTTTACTATGTCACACATTGACTTGCCCTACACTCTGTTCCCAATCATTCTATCCTGCCACGACACTGATCCTATGCTGGAAAAGTAGTCCGAAAACTTTTCTCTTATTGTTATAGCGGATCGAGGGCATCCTGCTTGTATTGCACCATCACCATCAGTCAGACCTACAACATTCAGTGTGTTTTCAAACTGTACACCATCCCTTTCTCTTACAAAGTTGTGTAAAGTGCAACATGCCCTGATAATGTTTTCGGCATTCTCAACATGTAAATCCAGTGGTCTATGAAATATGCGCCATTTATTTGTGAGAATGCCAAATGCACTTTCGATGTATCGCCTCGCTCTTGATAAGCGATAATTAAAAATTTTCTTTTTGTGTTGGAGATTTTTTCCCCCATACGGGCGTAGCATGTGAGTAGAGAGGCCAAAAGCTTCGTCGCCAACGAAAACGAAGGGAAGTGGGTCCCCATTCGTTGACACTGGTTTATCGCTAGGAATGTTCAGTGTATTTTGCTGCATTTTTTTTGTAAAGGTTACTGTTTTTGTAGATTGAGGAGTCTGATGCTTTACCATAAGAACTGACATCTATAAAAGTAAACCTGTAGTTTGCGTCACATACAGCTAACACCACCATTGAAAAATACTTCATGTAACAAAAGTAGTTAGAACCACTGCCCGTTGGTTTAATGAGCCTCACATGCTTGCCATTGATGGCGCCTATGCAGTTTGGAAAGTGTGCTTCACAACGAAAGCCTTCTTCAATTTTCAGCCATTCTTGCTTTGTTAATTCTGGGAAACATAGGTTGTGTAAATACTCCCTTATCGCCTTGCACACTTCTTGCACGATCCCTCTAGCGGTGGACTTCCCACACCGGAAAGTGTAATGTAGTTCAGAAGAGGAACACCCTGTTGCTAAGAACCTGAAAAGAACATTTAAAAATCGGTAAATTTATAGAACTACCCAATATTCGATAGCGGACTATAACATCGTTTTTCTTATACTTCAGACAATTCTAAGACACCTTTCGTCTATGGTATTTCTGCCGCAAATTAGCCGTTAATGAGATATATCCACTTCTAAAGAAATGCTCTGCTATTTATAGCAAGTATGGATACCTAGTGCATAGGCCTACTTGCGCAAGAGGATGTTACATATTATAACATGAAACTCATTTTACTCAGATTTTGACGCGACTTTAATTTAACCCAACAAATAATAATACATGAGAAAACGTTGTGCTATCATTGAAATTTTATTCATGTAGTTATTTTTGATGAAGCTAGTGTGTAGACTAATAACTTTATAATTAATCTTTACATCTTACAGTTACAGATCTACAACGGAAATGGAAGAATTTGAGGGACTCCTATAGAAGAGAAGTGTCGAGGATACTACAGTGCAGGGAGATGAACGAGAAAACCCAGGAGAGCCTGCACCTTCCACTTCTAATGTAAAAAGGAAGAAATCAACTGTACAATCAGATGAAAAGATTATTCTGGAAGCTTTAGCTAAGAAAGCAAGCGTCCCTCACGATCATGATACAGATTTCCTTCTTGGTCTGGTGCCTGACTTCAAGAGTATTCCTGAGAGTGTCAAGTTCGATGCTAAGCTTGAAATCATGAATGTGATCAAGAGGTATAAACAACATCCAAATCATCTGTATTTTACATCATATCAACAAACAATCCCAAGTCCATATTCACATGCGAGTCATACATCACACAATTTCGCTCCTAGCATCATGCATGCACAATCAACAGTACCTCAAAGCCAACCCGTACTACCCTGTACACCATCACCTGCACAACTATCTGAAACACAATCGGTATCCCCATGGTCGGAAGATTCAGTCATGAGTAATTTGTGAACAAAACACTGAAGTGACAACACAAATATTATCATTGGAAGCATTCATAATCTTGGCGATATAGGAAAGGAAATATAGCTTTGTATTGCAGTACAGTTTCATTGAAATACAGTTTAATAAACTCACTAAAAATAATTGTATTATTTACATACCTTAATGTCATGGCAAGTCTCTCCTCAGCTGGAATGCTCTTCCTTAGGTGTGTACTGTCTTTGCGAATGTGGGGGCCAATTATGGCCAAGAGTTCGTTGAAACTTTCCTGGGTCATCCTAAAGTAGTAAAAAAATTTATCATCATCTGCTCTTAAGTCACTCATTATCATGTAAAACTGTCCGTAATTGGGTGCATCCATAGCGCTCTCCGACGACGGCGGCGGCGACGTCGCAGAAGTATAAGCAGTGACAGTGCCTCTTCCTCAGAGTCCATGCTGAAACTGAGATGTAGTGATATCGGTGTGGCGACCACATGTGGCTGGGTATTCAAAACATAACCACATGTGGTCGCAACTTGTAGCTCTAAAAAGTGGCTAGTGTGCTCTGGCCCGCCACTTTGCACAGCCACTTGTGGTGCCACAGAGTGGCTAGTGTGCTCGGGGCCTAATGGACAACCAACGACCAGTGAGGAGTATCTGTGGGAATCCCATCAATACTCCCCCCCCCCTAATGGTGGTGGGGAGGGGGAGAAAATGAAGAATTGTAATCTTTATGTCTACAGATTTAATAAGTACTGCCTCTATCCCTGATAACATACGCAATTCCTTGACCACTCACTCCTCAATTCATCAAGAAAGACTTACTCGTTAAATATGAAAGTATCTTATATACTTAATACCTTGTGGCGAAGATTACTGATGGCGTGTCCATCATGGATCTAATATTTTTGAAGTGCATCGCTAGATACTTGAGGTACTTCAACCTGATCCTGGGATCACCCCACAGTTTCGTCACCAGACAGTCTGCATGCGATATACTCCAGTCCTGTGGCTCAGGTCTATAGTTCTTTCAAAACACTCTCCGAGACCTGATAAGGTATTTTAAGGATAAACTGTTAGAGGAATTGAAGAAGTTTAAAGTAGTGTCAGTACAACGTTTTAAGAAAAAAAGTTGGTGGTGTGGAACAATTGACACCAGTCTTATAACTTTTGAAACGTTAGTCCTTCCGGAATCGGCTAAACTGACATGGTATTAACTCAAGGTAAAGCCATTTGATACAAACCTATGCGATGTGGGCATGGAGCCAACTCTTGTCGTCTTAGGGAGAATGAGTAAAGTGTGGTACAACTAGTCATCAAGGAGATAGCTCTTCAGTATGCTGTTATCACTGCAAAGAAACCCATGACACTTTTTCAGAGCAGTGTAAATGGTACAAATCTGAAAAGCATCTAATTAGGAACAAAGGAAAAGTGGTTTTCCAGAGGCAGAGTAATGTGTCTGTGTCCTGATCGACATCGCCAGGTAAGTCCTTTGCCTCAGATCTAGCCCGACCTCTTACCTGTCATCCTTTAACCTCCAATACTTCTTGCATCACTCACTTTGCCACTACAGTTCTCTAAAGAAGCTTCGAATCCAGAACTGCCTCTGGTGAGTTATTCAACCAGATACAAGAGTAGAAGCCAGAGTAGAAGTAGGGGTCTATTGAGGAGACTCCTCCTCCCAAAATGAGGTCTTTGGAGCCATCAGGCAAGGCTATAGAAGCTTGAACGGTGACAGCTCCAGCTTCCACCACATCCACTGCTAGACAGAATGCCCCTGGACTAAAAATGTAGATATGCCCTTTACCAAGTCAAAGGAATTATGAATCTGTCTCAAAGACTCCTCCTCCCAGGAGGTCTATGGAACTCTCAGGAAAGGTTCTAGAGGCCTCAACAGTGACAGCACCACCTGCCACTAAATCCACAGTGGACCCGAACCAAAGGCTAAGGTCTGCCCTTTGCCTAGGCAAAATAATCCTGAGCCCATCCAAAGGACTCCTCTCCAACATAAGTTCTTTGGAGTCATCAGACAAGGCTCCAGAGGCCTCAACTGTGACAGCCCTAGCTGCCACCACATCTACAGAGGCCTCCACTGCTAGGCAGAATGCCCCTGAACTGTCGTTTGCCCAGTCAAAATAATCCTAAGCCTGTCCAAAGAAAACCTGTGGTACATAGTTCCACAGGTAAACAACCCTCCAAAAGGCATTCCCAAGATACTGGAAAGAGTAAGTCAATAGAAATTGTAGGGTGGACCTTAATCACAAGTGCTACTAAACAGATTCTGAAAAAGTAATTCATCAACCTAAAGAACTGGCTACCCTGATCCAATGGTACTATTAGGGAATTCATGCAACGTGGTAGGAATTGCAACAACTGATAGCTTCATATAACCCAATTGGTGTATGCCTTCAAGAGATTATGACCAGGGATAATCGTTCAGTTTCCCAGAGAGGATTCCAAGTTCATTAAGGGCCCTTTGATAATGGACCTGTAAGGTTTTCTGTCGAAGGGAAGCCGGAAATATCATCCACCCAAGCGGCGGATGGCGGCTTAGGGCCGAAAGAATGAGGGAGGGGGTCCGTTCACTTCCCCTGTGTGGAGACACTATCCCATGCCCCAGGTACACATCCCTTAAGAAAATGGGTCTGGTTATGCTGTTCTTGACCTCTTATGATTAATAAAAAAAAGAAAGAAAGAAAAACAGCACGGTTAAATAAAAATATAAATATGAATAAGAAGTAAAGCTCGTTCTGAAGGAATGGATGCATGAAAAATGTCAAGCTTAAAAAGAAATAGGGTATCCCTGGCTGGTGCTGGCCAATGTGAAAAAAACTTTGTAAACCTTCAGTTAGTTTAAATATCCACGTCCAGCAAATTCCTAACTGACATGTAAAATGTGGCTCAAACACAAACTTGTACTTGCTGCTCCAGCGACGCCATAGTATAGGGTAGTCCAGGGGTGGGGGGGTAGGTGTGAAGACATATTAAGCAGAAAGGTCAATTAACAATGAATAACAATGAAAATATAAAGTAAACAAGCAAAACAAAAAAAACAAAATAACTAAAAGATACATTAGAAACAGATTAACAGAACGTTAAAAACAAAAAAATAACTAAAAGGTACATTAGAAACAGGTTAAAAGAACGTTAAAAACACCGCAAGTAAAAATAAATAAAACTAAAGACTTAAGAGGAAAAATAAAATTCAGAACACAGTAAAGTCTATCAACGATACATGCCCTATCCCGAGTGTCCCCTGTGAGCCTCCATTAATTAGGAAAATCCATAATTAAGGTGGTGACGTGACAGGTTGTAGATATATGAAAAAAGAATTCAAAGTCATAAAACAATTATCCAAGACCAAGATAAGGGGAGGGATTCAGTATCAAAATGAGTTATAAGATTGCTGAGATCATTAAGTAGAAAAAAAAAAATTGTATAAAAGAATGAAAAACCCATCTATCTTTAAAAGACTACACAGAAGAGAGAGAGAGAGAGAGAGAGAGAAAAGCAAAATAAGTGTAGTTACTCGCCACTCAAGACTCGGAGCATTCGAAGCTCAAGGAGGAAACTCGGGAAATAAAAAATAAAAACAAAACAATAGTTTTTATTTGGTACATTCTACAAAATGCATGGTTTGGCAGTAACAGTATAGCCGTGTTGAATGTGCGGGCGGGAATCATCTCCAGCGTGTTTGAGCGCCGCCCGCTGGATTACCAAAATTCGGTTCGGGATTCAGGATTCGGTATCAGGTATCCAGGGTGTCGGGGGGATAGATAGGGTATTAGGGTGGAGGATAAGGGGTAGGTGTGAAGACATAAGCTTAAGAAAAGGACGAAAAGGAGAGAAATTAAAGCGAACCGAGAGATGAAAATGAAAGAGATGAACGAGATCAAAGAAGGAATAGAAAAAGCAGAAAGCGAGGAGATTAGTATGGGAGAAGAGAAAGATACCAAAACACGTAAATCACGAAATAGAAGAGCTAGGAGAAAAGTGAACGAAAGGAGTGAATGAGAGAAATGAGAGAAAGAAACGAGAGACAAGGATAAGATAGCATAACGAAAGAACAGGGAAGAGGAGAAAACGAGGAGATTAGCATAGTAGAGAGTAAGGAGGGAAAGAGGAAAAGGAAAGGAAAGGGAACAAAAGAAATGAACGAGGAAGAGGTGAGAGCAAGAGAACGAGAGAGTATTTAAGAGAGACGAAGGATAGCGAGTAGAATAAATAGGGTACAGATGTCAGGATGATACGTGAAGAGGAGAAAGAGGGAGGGATGGAGGGAGAGGGAGAGGGAGAGGGAGAGGGAGAGAGGGAGAGAGAGAGAGAGAGAGAGAGAGAGAGAGAGAGAGAGAGAGAGAGAGAGAGAGAGAGAGAGAGAGAGAGAGGAGAGAGAGAGAGAGAGAGAGAAAGGGGGAGGGAGGGAGGAGGGGAAAAAGTTAGAGAAGAGGGTAAAGGGAAGACTAAAGCAAAGGGAGGTAGGGGAGAATGGGAAACAAGGGGGTGTCCAGGATTGGGGGGGAGGGGTCGCTGACCTCACAGACCATATGGCGTAAGAGGGGATGGACGTCCAGGCCATCCACCTACTGACGACACTGGAAGTAAAGGTTTGTAATACCTTATAGTGTTGCATCCACCTAAACTCTGGCTGGCGTCACCTCTCGGGAGACACCTTGTGCAACCCTCGAGGAAGGGCCTCCAAGATCCTTCAAGAGTAGATGCACTTTTTATTCAGAACAGTCACAAATCCACACACCTCCAAACACAAACTGGGACACTCTCCTGTCAATTGGTTCACCTGATTCACAGTTATATTACACTTGGTAGGTCATGGAAGACTTACATACAAGTGACTATTTCCCAACACTTTTGGAGAAGGTGAATAGCATACCAGCCAATGGGGTGAAGATATGACGACATGAACATGCAGACTGGAACATTTTTAGATCAAATGCAGTAATGCAGGGATATGTGAATGACTTCCAGTTTGTTGAAGATGTTATTAATCACTTCACACCACGAATTCACCTTGGAGTAGAAGTATCCATTCCCAAAAGTAGTGGTCATTACCGTCAACCTCCAGTACTGTGGTGGTCTGATGAAAGAAAAGCTGCCCTAAGGCAGCTGAAACAATGTCCCAGCGATGTGGCCTTGATCTGTTTCAAGAAGACATGAACCAAAGCCAGGTAAATGCTAAAGGAGGCTAGACAGATGTCGTGGAGTATCTCTCCTCGATTAATTCTAGGACACCTGTAATGTGGGTATAAGGTTGTTGGTAATAGTACATCAGTGTCACCACTTTGTTCTCACAGACAACAACAACAACAATAAAACGTATATGAGCTAGCTAAATCCATGGCAG